GCTCTCCTGTGTGTGTGTGGTGGAGGGGGATCGGTCAGTCGGTCTTAATGTGAGACCAGCTTTGGCCCAGTACAGTTCATCCTCTTTCTCCTCCCCTCTCCTACACTCTGCTTGACTTTCCTTGGCCAAGAACCATTGCTTAGCCTGTAACTCTTCCATGGTGCTTTTGATGTTTTCCTTGCTTTTTCACATGACCCTCCGCTCTCCTGTGTGTGTGTGGTGGAGGGGGATCGGTCAGTCGGTCTTAATGTGAGACCAGCTTTGGCCCAGTACAGTTCATCCTCTTTCTCCTCCCCTCTCCTACACTCTGCTTGACTTTCCTTGGCCAAGAACCATTGCTTAGCCTGTAACTCTTCCATGGTGCTTTTGATGTTTTCCTTGCTTTTTCACATGACCCTCCATCTATATTCCTATTTTTAACTCCTATCCTAACAGCCTCTGCCCCAGGTGCCTTTGTCACTAACATCAAAAGTTGCTCAAATCTCCACTGTTATACACAGGGTACTAATGTAACAGTGCTAAAACTGCAGGTTGACTTAAACGCGTCAGTATCCAAGTCAGAAATTACTGGTACATGGGATTTTCAAAAGGCACTATTTGGAAACATACTGCATTCGAATCCTTCTCTTGAAATGGCCACAACAAAACCTTTTAGATGTGCAGATAGTCTTGAAAAGAAAACGAGAGTTTTAAGTTTTCATTCCTTTTGTGACTCCTATGAACGTACGCAACGTAACTTAGCATTTGGGGGCAAGGTGGAATGAAGCAGTGTTTTTGTTTTTCTCATTCTTGCCATGTGTGGATGTGGTGCAAGATAGTTCCAGGACCAGTAAATCATTTGCCCGTCCATACAGGCGAACTAGGCGGTCACCTAGGGCACCAAGATAAATGGCCGTTAAGGACTTCGGAGCTGGGGGCGTGGATCGCATGTTTCACCTAGGGCGCCAGTTGCCAGCCGCTCCTGAGCACAAAAGACTGAGACATATACTGGTCAAATTCATGATAGGGAGCAGTTTGCATGTTTAAAAAACACTCCACAGATTGAACCTTCCTAGTCCAGCAACTCCAGAATGATTTTATTTAGCTGGAAGTCCATTTATAGAATCATAGAATCATAGGACTGGAAGAAGCCTCAGGAGGTCATTAAGTGAAGTTTGTTTATTTACAGCCACCAGTCCTGGCTCTCAGTGTGCTGTGCTGTGAATTAGCTCGAATTAACCCCTCCGTGTCTTCTAAGAGCCCAGTAAGCAGGGGAAGTGTTGGTGACGCTGCTAGACAATATTGACCTCCCGTGGTTCAGCAAACTCTCAGGTTCAGCACCAGTCAGGTCCTGAGGGTGCCAGATTAGAGAGGTTCAACTTGTATTGACTTAAAGGTAAACTGTAAAACTAATGCATGAAAACGGAATTCATCTCAGATGTGTGTGTGGTAGCACCACGACCCAGGCTTTGAAAGGGTCGAAATAGGGACACAGAATGAATTTTTAAATCCATTAGCTTAGACCCTAAGATTCAGGGAGCCTCGTTTGCAAGTGCACCTTGGGAAGCCATATACAGGTTGAACCTCTCGGGACCTGACTGGTGCCGGGGCAGGGAATTTGCTGGACCAGGGGAGGTCAATGCACCAGGGGTTCCACTTTTCCTCCTTGGCCACCCCAGTCTCCCCATGGGAAAGAGGAGAGGCTCCGCTTTCCCTCCATTCCCTACTGCTCTGCTGCCACCTGGGGGCCTGCTTTTGCTCCGTGGCTCTGCTGCGGAAGAGGAGGGCTCTGCGCTCCCAACCCCCGACCCCCTCAGCAGCCCCACTGCTGCCCATGACTCCACGCTCTGCCCAGAGGCTCTGCTGTCGCCTGGAGCCCCTTGCTCTGCGTGGCAGCTTCTCCACTTCCAGGGGCTATCCCCAGCAGCCTGGCTGCTCAGCAGCCCCACTGCTGCCCATGACTCCACGCTCTGCCCAGAGGCTCTGCTGTCGCCTGGAGCCCCTTGCTCTGCGTGGCAGCTTGCCCCGCTGCTACCTGGAGCTCCGTGCTCTGGACAGCTCCATTGCCATCCAGGGCTCCTCTCTCTTGATCCCCTAGTTTGGCAACACTCCTGGCCCGACGGGGTCATCCCCATGATGCCGGACCAGGGGTGTTGCCGGACGAGGGAAGTCCAGATTACAGAGTTTCAACCTGTACCCGTGTAATGCAGGTGCAAAACATTACGAGTTCCTAATGGTTACATTTTCCACCTGATGGGCAAGCACTTTGTATGTGATACGGTGAAAAGCTGTGGTTAGTCAAGCCCCCTGGTTATCCCTGATCACTCCGAGTGAATCCCTCTGGGACATCTTTAGAACTTCAGGATGCCTGAGAATTATTTTTAAAATGTCTCAGATTTCCCCTCTCCCTGTCTCCCACAGCCTGGTTAATAGGAGAATTTAGCACATCAGTCGGTGATTAACTCAGTTTTCATTGGCTTTGTGATGCACCCATAAGAATTTGTTGGACATAGCGGCTCAGTTGTATACGTTAAAATTTATAGAATGCTATTAATGCGGCTAAATTAGAACCAGAAGGCTGGCTATATTGAAATCATCAGCTAGGCAGTAAATCATTAACTGATCCAAGCTCGGAATTTTAAAAAACTCCTTCTTCATGCCATCCTATGACAAGATGTGGACTGTACCCAGGATTGCACGTGGATGCTGGCCACAGTGTTATGGCTGTCCCGCCAAGCAATCCAGGCTGTCTTGTGCTCTCCTCTGGCTCTGCTGCTGTGTGTGTTGCGACCCCTTCGGTCCCAATTCACAAGTGGCGTGGACTGGGATACCACTTCCCGCAGTGCCCATTGGCCGGAAACGGTGATCTGTGGCCAACGGGAGCTGCGATCGCCTGAACCTGCCGAAGCGCAGGTAAATATAGCAGGGGAGTCGCCGGGGGCTGCTAACCCCGTGGGACTGGATCCAGCCCACGGGCCGGTATTTGCCCACCCCGGCTTAGCGTGGTGCCCACAGAGTCAACATAAATCCTACTTAAGTTTTGTTAGGTGCTGGTTTGCAGAAGACATCACAGGGAGGGATTAGAGTTCTCACCGATACCTCTGCTGCTTTTGCATTGATAGAATGTAATTCTGACACCACTGAAGTCAGAGGCAAAACTCCTGTAGGCATCCGTGGGTCTGGAGTGTCGTAAGTGGGACCTGAACGCTAGGGGTAGATTTAATCTTCAGAGCACGTGGTTTGGATTTGTCCAGTCATTGGGGCCCTGATTCAGCAGAGCAGCTAGGCATGTACTAATTTGAAACACGGGAGTAGTCCCTTGGCTTTCAGCAGAGCTATTCAGATGCTTCAGTTTAGGCTGACACTTAAGTGCTTGTTGCATCAGGCCCTGGAAGAAGTGTATTGATGACATGCTTGTTATAAACCCATTTTGAAAGCATCTTGAAACTCTAACCACATGAAATAGATAAGACTGACTCTTGCATCTGGTTTTCTGTTCCCGGCCTAGGGTGTATAAAATGGGATTTGCTTATTTTTCTTTTCTTTTATGCAATTCTTTCTTCCTTTCAATATTTGTTAAGGAATTTTAATGAGGATCTATTATTCCCATAACGTAATTAGTTCAGGCTGGGTTATAAAGACTTCAGAATCATAATATGTTAAGTTACTGAATTGCTGTGCCCAGTTCTTGGTGATTTGTTTACTTGCATTCGTATATAAATTACAATATTGTTCTGATAATTAAGGAAATATTAAGTCAATAATCACCTCTGTTTAGAGTCTCTAGTGAGGATTTTAAAAACACTTTCCAGACTTCAGTTAATGAGTGAAGTACCACTAGGAAGTTTTTTTTTATAGAGAAAATTTGTAAAGAAACTTCACTCCTCACTGACCTGCAGCTACCTCTGGAATGAACCACAGCAGCTGTTTGAACAGAGCAACACGCTGTAGCAATTTGGGACAAGACGTTCCCACTCAATGCACAAAGGACTTTAAGCAGGCAGCGTGTAATTTGGTTAGGACACGGCAGGTTTAGTCATTTTATTCTTATTAAAAAAATGGCGATGGTGTCTCTTAGGACTGCCAGGGAGCCCGGTTTTATGTTGCATTTGAAAGGAGGCAGCAAGATGTTCGTGTGCTTGGGCATTGCTCCAGTCCTGATTCAGAGGGAAGAATGTCAACTAATGAATAACTAATATTCCTGCAGTACCTAGATGTTCTCCTGAGAGCTCCTGTCATGCTTAGCATGTGAGATCTGACAGAATAACAGCATGAGAGAGAGTTGCTGCAGGCCTCTCTCTGATATTGCCAGCAACGCCAAATGGATTGCTAAGTAGAAATTCCTCTGGATGGGCCCAGCTCAAACAGCATCGTTGCTGTGTGCTTTCCTGTATTCTTTTCTTCAGCCTGAGATGCTTGCTCTTTTCAGAGACAAGCCTCACTTTATCAGTTGGCTCGTTTGGCTTCTTTCACACCGCGGATGAGTCTCGTTACACCGGGCAGAGCTAGATGAATAGTTTTTTATTCGAATTCATAAGAATTTTTTCTTAGGCAGAATCCTTAAGTTAGCAAGTGCTGGGTATTTGGTTCTTTGGAAAGCTTAAGTTTTTAACATCTTTTTTTTTTCAAGTGTTAATGTGTTTGGAATGAAGAGCATGTGAGAGAATATTTTCCTGCCAGATTAGGCTAGCTGCTGGTCAGATAAAGCAACATGCTTTTATTAGGGTGTTTTTACAAAGACAAATTAGCACCCCTTAATCCAATTCCCCCTTAGGCTTGGTGAAATTTTAGTGTCAGGTCTGATTCATGGCTCGGTGTCCTCTTTAGTTAAAGCTCTTGGGAAAATCTGTTAGTTACATTTTGGGAAACATGTTTATAATACTTAACTCTGAAAATAGGGGTATTTGACTGCTTTATATGTAACATGCATAATTGAAATTAATTCTTGCATGAAATACTCATTTTGGAATCTGATTTGCAGCATGTGTTTTACACCATCCAGTTAAATAGTTGCCCATGTATTACTAATGAAATATTAGCTTTCTATGGGTTTTTCTTTTTGAGGGATCTGTGTGAAGTATAAGCTGTTTTTTACTGGCAACATACTTTACAGTACCCATTCTCATGAAATCTTGGTATCCAACATCCTGACTATAATTTCCTTTACAATGGTGAAAATAAATAAGACTGTATTAATGCACCAGAAGTCCTTCTTTAGTGCAATATGTCTGCTTTGCCAAATACCTGGCTACACCAATAGTGTGCTGGTGGGGATAGCGTTTGTAGAACTGTTCTACTGGCCTGTGTCTTGTGTTTGACATAAACTTCATTTTTTTCAAAGAGTGAAAACCTCCGGACTAGTAGAGACATTTGCCACAGCAGTTCACTGTCAGACATGGTGGGAACACCAATGAGCCTAGGACAGGATGATGTGTTCTGGAGTGAAGAGCAGCCTCCAAAGGTACTGGAAACAGAAGGGGTGTATGTTCTAGCTGGCCACTGTTAGTAGAGCCTATTTCAGCTCCACTGAAGTCAATGGGACTCCTGGTCCTTCAGCTCCATGCATGATACCAGAACTTACACATGTGCCTTGATACCACATTGGTGAGCACATGGCAGATAGATCGGCATCAAGGGGAGAATTAGACTCATGTTGTGTTTGTTTATTTTTCCGTCTCACTATCCATGTCTTACTCTACAGATTAATCACAATTGATGGGAATGGCTATTGCAGATTAAACCCCATGCAATGATGGAAGGGATTGTGTGAGAAATCTTGGCAGAACTCCTATTGGCTTCAATGAAGCCAGGATTTCACTGTGTAATTCTGTCGCTCCCTTCTCAGTGCTTCATCTTTACAAATGTGTTCACATAGACTGATAGGATATTAGTAAAGTCACCCAGGTGTTTAAAAATTGGGTATGTGGCTGAAGAGATCTATTTCATCTGGAAAGGGTAATGTTGTAAAAACATGCATTTGAGTAAATATAATAATATCTGGTCTAAATGAGCACAATCTACATTTGTCAGTACATGTGTTATATAGAGAGTCTGTATAGATACTTACTTACATCTACACTGGCAGCTTCTTGCGCAAGAACTCTTTTGCGGAAGAGTTCTTGCGCAAAAAGTCTTCCACAAGAGAGTGTCTACACTGCCATGTGCTTTTGCGCAAGAAAGCTCTGATGACCATTTTAACCATAGGGCTTCTTGTGCAAGATATTCATGTTGCCTGTCTACACTGGCCTCTTCTGGAAGACCTCTTGCACAAGAGGGCTTCTTCTTGAGAGGGAGTGTCAGAGTTCTTGCGAAGAAGCCCTGATTTTCTACAGTTCAACGTCAGTTTACTTGCACAAGAACACGCGGCCAGTGTAGACAGTCAGCATGTTTTTGCGCAAGAGCAACCGTTTTCGCACAAGAACGCGCCAGTGTAGACACCCACTTAGACTAGCTATTTTGTTTCTTCCCTCTTTTCTTCCCACCCTCCCCAGCTTTGAAGAATCTAGTTACAATGCAGAGGTAGGTTATTAGTTCACATAATTCAAAGTGTGTGTGTGTGTGTGTGTGCGCGCGTGTGTCCGCGCGTGTGTGTGTGTGTGTTTCCCCAATCCACTACAAAACCTGACCCAACAATGTAGTTTCCAATAAAAGGACACCTTTCCATAATGTCCAATTGGACCATTTTTCTTCTCTGTGCTTCGGTCTGTCTTGTATTGATGCAGTCCATGCACTGGGATTATTAATTGAGTATATGATAGCAGAGCAGGGAACTGAAACTTTTGGTTAAATCTTTTAAGGTTCCAGAAAGGACAACCTCCAAATTTTACAGCAGGGATCATCTTGGCCATCAAAAAGGTCCTTCAAGGTAAGCCCCTCTGTGTTTTGTGCTTAAATGAATGGTGATTTATTATCAACAGGAAAACAGAAGCCAACTCATTAAAATTAAAGCCTTAACTGCACAAACTCTACTGTCAGTGTCGGTTTATACTTCATTTAATGGCAGTTACAATCATTCCCTTTTGAGCCAACTTACCCACAAAACACCCAACCCAATGCTCTGACCTTGAACCTTAAAGAAGCTTCTAAACCATCCACAGGCTTCTCTTAGCAGTTTACACGTGTGATACTGAGCACAGGTAAAACCTGCTTGTGGCTCCGCTTCTCTTTTGGCATCAGCATAATTTTCTTTTTGTCCCGTTATCGGTCCCAACTGCGCTGCTAATATGTAAGGGCCTGATCTGCAAATTCTTAGGCCTATTTGGTCCAGTAGTTTGAGCACGATGAATGCTACTCAGTGAACCCGATTCTCCACTGCCCTGCATGTGATGCCCTCATTCACACTCCTGCAGAGGGTGCAGATTGGTGGGTTTTGACACGGGTGCTCCTACTTTCTGTTCCTGCCGCTGCATAGAAGCAAGTAAGTCATGTGCAGTCTCTGCCAATAGCTTCATCACTAAATGTGCTGCAGTGCAAAAAGGAGATAAAGGCTAATAGGGAAGTCAGTGTTTTGAAGTCAGGAATTCCAGTGTCTTCATTTGGACTGTAGGCAAGTCCCGTTATCTTCCTGTTCCCCGTTTGTAAAGGCGGGTAGTAATACCGACCTCCCAGCGGGTGTTCTGAGGCTGGATTCAGTAACATCTGTAAGTGCTTTGAAGTAGGGATGCAATAGTGTAGTCAACTAAATGATTGTCAGATAAGTGGGAGTTTATCAGTTAACACTCTCGGCTATACTCATTCTTCTCCCCCTATCCCGCCCCTCCCCCCATGGCTCTGCAAGTACATTTTTTTAACGGGCTAGATGGGGAGCCGGTGCGCAGGCAGATTGGCTTCGTCCTGGCTCACACTGGGTCCCAGCATCAATCCCTGTTGTGGCTCTGCCTTATCAGTGGACCAGGGAACCAGCACCTAAGCGGGCTGGCTCAGTCCCAGCTCATGCCAAGTCTCAGCTCGGCTCTGCTTTGTTAATGGACTGAGCCAGTCTGACTGCACACCGGCTCCCCAGTCCCCTAATAATGCAGAGCAGCAGCGGGATTGATGCCGGGACCCGGCGTGAGCTGGGACTGAGTGCTTTCACTGCTTATCCTTATCGATTACTCGTGTAGTCGACAACATTTTTGTCGACTACACGATTAATGAATGACATGCTGCTTAACATCCCTGCCTTGAAGCCGAGCAACAGAAATGCAAAATACTCTGATACAATTTTTGACTTTGTGTTTAGCAACGTGCACCAGGCATCCCCCGGGGGACGTGCTCTGAAACTAAGCAGCAACAGCAGCAGCTCTCCTGGAAGCAGGCAAGGGGCGATAGGAGCTCATCTCAGCAAGAGATCAACCTCAGGTGATTCTTAGGTCAACAATTTATCGGTTAAAATATGTGACATTCCTGTGCTTTGAAATCTGGTACATGCTGCGTCCAGGATGTCGAAATCTTGCATACACATTTATAGTTGTGTTTACTGCCTGTCTCTTAGTGACATGATTTTTGATAGCTTTCTGGATCTGCGATCTGTGCTCCAAGCACGGAGTTAAAATAGAAACTGTTCCTTTTTTGAGTGCAAAACTGACTGTGAGCTTGTTCCCAAATGGAACATGCAATACACTGTCTCAATTAGGAGGTGAAAAACAAAACCATCTTCTCTTTATTCACTGGGACTGTTGAAATTTGGTAGATCTGCTCTTAGGAGTCCACTGAACGAATCCTACACTAATGGTAACTCACCAGAGTTTTTCTTCATGACCTTTACTACTTTATTGGATTGCTATCTAATGAGATGATGCAGTTTAGCAGCTGTTATGCATTAACATTTCTGCACTCTATTATTGTTTTGGCTGGGGAAGATATGAGATTCCCCATTCAGCATCTTATGAAACATTCTTTTGATATATTATAATTTATTGAAAAATGTAGTCAAAATTTTTAAAAGGGCCAAAAGCAAATTATTAGATTGAGGCAACCGCATGTAGAATAATCAAAATGTGTGGTGGGTTCTAAGCTTTGCATTATAACTTGTTATGCACTTCACTTGCTAGGGTGGTGCTAGTTTTGTGCAAATACATGGCCGTACAAACTCAGATTGCTTTTAAATATGTAGCTCGAAGCACCAGCAGGGGGGTGATGCTAGTTTTGTGCAAATACATGGCAGTACAAATTCAGATTGCTTTTAAATATGTAGCTCGAAGCACCAGCAGGCAGGGGGCACAGAAGGGGTAGGAGACAGCAGTACTCCTCTCTACTTACTCCAAAATGTATTTTCATGAGTGGTTTTGTAGCTGCGTTGGTCACAGGATACTAGAGAGACCAGGCGGGTGTGGTAATAAGTTTTCTTAAAACCAATTTTTGTGGGTCCGGCTTTTGAGTTAGAGGGCTCTTCTTCAGTTAGCACGAAAGCTCGTCACTTCCACCTACAGAAGGCTGACCAGTAAAAGATATTACCTCAGCCACCTTGTCTTCTTTAAAGAAACATTTAATTATAAGCATTGCGTTGCCTTGCGGTCAGAGTACCAGTTACATATATTCAGCACGGCTGGTCACTGCTTTGCACCTTGTGTACCTCTCTGCAATATGGTAGCATTTGACCCCCACTTTGCACTGTGTAAACCAGGGGTGGGCAATAATTTTAGAAGGACACTTCACAAATGTTTAACGGGCTAGATGGGGAGCCTGGAAGGGGCGGGGCCTCAGGCAGAAGGGGCGGGGCCAGAACACTGCCATGCTCCCCTGGCCACAGACCCTGATTGGCCTGGGTGTGAGGGAGCGCGTGAAGTCTTTGCCCCGCCCCCTCCCGAGAGAACCACCAGCTGTTCCTGGTGGCACGAGGAGTTATCACGTCAATCGGGGCTTAGGGGCAGGGGGAGCACGCAAAGTCACTTGCTCTCTGGCCTGCAAGGGGTGCACCTTGCATAGAGTGAACCGCCAGCTATTCAGCTGATGGTTCACTCTAAGCATCACATGCCTCTGGTGGGGGTGGGTCTTCGTGCACTCCTTTGTCCCCGGGCCCTGATTGGCCTGGGGAGCACAGGGCATCCAGCCCACAGAGGCTCTCTTGCTCACCCCTGGTGTAAATGATTACTAACGCAGGGGAAATCATTTGGTGTTTACCTTGGCAATGAGCTTCTTAAACATACAATTCATAATACGGAATTTAAAGAACTGTTTTATTTTTATATTTGTGTTAACGTGCAAGCACTTGACAATGGAGATGGTTTATTACGTTTTTCCATCTGGGAATATGCTCACAGTCAGTTTTTCGCTCCGTTTTTTCTGTTTATTACAGTCACACATTCAAGCAAACTTTGCTTTAAATAGTCATAAGATGTAGGAAACTTTGTTTCAAGAAACATCCAAACCACGCTCTCAAATGATTCAGCCTTAGGGTTTTTTTGTTTGGTTGGTTTTTGCGGGATTTTTTGTTTGGTTGGTTTTCTTTATTCATTTTATGTTTAAATAATAGGTTAGCAATACACAATCATGCAGCAGCCCAGCTGGGCTTTGCAGTCTCTGTATGCTGTGTAACACCTGAGCTGTTCTGGTAAGGGGAAACGAAAACCTTATGGGCCATGAAAAGAATACAAAATACCCCCTGTGGTTCAAATTGGCTCTTTGGATTCTTAAGTGTAATTGAATGACAACTAGTTCTGAGGTGTGTTGTTCAGGAAAAAGTTCAGTTTTGCCAACTCTAAAGCAAAGGAATTAGATGTTAAGGGCTATAAATACACTTAAATTAATATTGCAGCATAGTTGCTTTAAGCCAGGGGCGGGGAACCTCCGGCCCAGGAGCTGGATGTGACCCTCAGCTTGTCTGGATCTAGCCCCCAAGGCTCAGAGCCACTCCTCCAGCACTGGGGAGCCTGCACTGGCACTCCAGCCCCACCCCCCACCCTATTGTGGGGCTGCAGCACACAAAATCTACTAGGCTGGGCCCCCAGGCTCTGGTGTGCGAGGGGAACATGGGGAGCATCTTTCTCCTTCTCAGCCAGGGGCTACGCCAGTGAGGGTTGGTGGGGTTTGGGGTTTGGTTTGGAGGGTTTTTTTGTTTTTGTTTCTCACTTGTGTGCGCCCCCCGACTATTTTTCTGTGGGTCAGCGGCCCCCGACACAAAAAGGGTTCCCCACCCCTGGCAGGTGAGTAATGAGTTCTGGATCAACACAACTTTAGAAAATGCTTAAAGCCATTTAGTGATTGTAATAAAGTGATGTAAGTGCACAAATAACTCTGGGTTAATGAATCCAGATGCAGCCTCCTTACTCACTGAGCAATGCCTTACTCTGCAAGCAGTCCCACTGACAGCAATAGGACAGGTCACGTAGGGTGCGTCTACACAGCACCTTTGCCTTGAAATAAGCGACGCGATTTGTGCTCCGCAAATCCCGTAGCTTATTTCGACATTTGGTGCTGTCTACCCAGTGCCAGATTTCAAAATAAGGCGCTATTCCAAAACGTCCCTTATCCCTCGTGCAATGAGGCTTACAGGGATGTGGGAAAAGCGAGCCCGTTATATTTCGATAGAACAGGCTTGCTCTTAAGATGCAGAATAGCTATTTCGGGATACCGAAGCGCTCTTTTGTGTAGATGTAGCCATAGCAAGTTAGTAAGCAAGGAGCTGAGATTTAAGTTGCCTTATGTGTCGGTGTATGTGCTGTGTCCTTAATGCTTCTCTCTACAACTTTTCCCAGGATCGTCCAAGGCAGAGAACCCACCGTCCCAGAACCGGCGACCACAGTGCCAGAAGTCTGAAAATGCTCCTCACCCTGCCCAGTTTTCAGTAGGTTCTTTCCTGCCAACACTGTGACACTGGTCACGCTGTCTAGGAAGGGAACATTTGTAAAAATGTGTAATGTTTTAACTAATGGTTGCCCAATTGTTACAGAGTCCACCAAGTCAACAGGCTGCCCACAGGCAGAGTTTATAATCCATCGTAACCCAATCTACGGCTGTCTTTATAGCCCTCTAGCCCCCTACCTCTCATGGCTGTAATGTGCTTAATAATGCATTTCCTCTTTAGCAGCTGTGTATAAATGTGCCTTTAATATAAAGTGTGGCCAGTGTTTCTTTTTCTTTTCTTTTTTTATTAATTCAGCCTTGTAAAGTATAATGTTTGTCCGTGGTTCGGAGAACAGGCACTAACAATGCCCTGAGCAAGTGATCATGCCTGAAAAGTTGCAGGGAAAGACTTAGATGGCTTGGAGGAATGCATAACTAGACAGTAGACCAGTAATTGAGCAATAGAGAACCAGGTTTGCATCCTTGTAGGAATAGTTGCTTCCCATCGCTAAAAAAGGGGATAGTTGCACGTCCCCATCTCATAGGGGTGTATCAGGATGAATACATTACAGATTCTCTGGTGCTTAGGCACTGTAGTGATGGGGGCCACGGATGTATCATGGCTGGATAAATGGTGGTCTCAAGACATTCCCAGGAGACTTGTAACCATATTATCAAAACACTAAGGTGTCCGCTTTAGCAGACTCAGTAGAGGTCAAAGAGTCCAGTTGAGGGCTAAATGATGGCATTTTGCCATTGACCCAAGTAGACAGCTGGGCCAAAGCTCCCTGAAGCACCATCTCTGTTCAAGCAGCCCCAGGGAATGTGCATATAAATTGAACATAAGAATGGCCATCTTTGGTCAGACCAAGGGTACGTCTAGTCCAGTGTCCTGTCTTCCAACAGTGGCCAATGCCAACTGCCCCAGAGGGAGTGAACAGAACAGGAAATTCTCATGTGATCCCTCCTCCATCATCCATTTCCAGCTTCTGACAAACAGAGGCCAGGGACATCATCCCTACCCACACCATTCCCACCCAAAAATGAGAGGTTTCCTATACAAGCATATTCTACACAGATCTGCGAGCCCGTCCCTTAAATATAATTGAGCTTAACCCTAAACTTGAACCCCCAAAATTCAAAAGTAGCATTTTTATAGAGCTGCAATCGGCTGAAAGGTGCCTTTACTGCTAGCGAACATTCACGCTGCTAAACTGTGGTTAGATGTTTGAGCCTGAAATTAACGGCTTGGTTAAAATTAACCACATGCCATTGCTACAGTAATTCAGTCATTTTCCTTTGGCTCGTTATTTTTTGTGAGCTACCTGGGGCCAGGGTTGGATAGTGCAGAAGCGTTATCTGCATAATACATTTCGTTAAAAGTTGCAGTAACTATTTGCAAACTGGAAATGGATGGAGATGACTGCACGTGAGGCTTTTGCAGTGAATTCTTCAATGGGAAAATGCAACTGAGTTTTCTTTATTCAGAGTCCAGCCTTCTTTGCCAAGGGGAAAGACGGTGCCAACTCGTTCTCCACGGCAACAGAATATTCTTCGTCCAGCGATGAACTGGTCAGCAGTGACGATGACGAGATGATTCACACCAGGTAAGCTTTCTTCTTTTCTTGCTCATTTTTTTTTAACTCTCTCAAAAGAGGAGTTGGTGTAAATGCGCACAGCTGGATTGACATCAGAGCCGCTCGTTTACACCAACTAAAAATGAGGCCAGTTATATTTTTGAGATCGCAACTTTGCCACAGTGACCAGGTGGTACGGCTCAGATGTGCACGCTTTCATCAAGCTGATCTCAAAGTTGTGTATTCTCCTTTCACTTTCTAGTTCTCTGTTGCTGTTTTTGTGAGTGAGAGCTGCAGTGGTTACCCCTCATTTAAAATGCAAATTTTGCTGGCAAATAATTGCTTGTGCATGATTTGCTCTTCCAAATGAAAGGGAAGAGTGAAGAGAAGTGAAAAGTGAGAGGGAAGAGCTCAACCAGTGATCCATGTTGTTTACAGCTACAAACCTAATCTTTCAAGCATCAATGAACAGTCCTTCTGATTTGTTTACAAAAAACCATCTATTCAGTTCATGTTGCGGCATGTTTGCAACGTGCCTCGTAGTACCACAGAGCTCTCTGGTAAAGGACTGCTTCTGATCTGATCTATTTACAAACATCATTTTCTCAACATACAGAAAGAGATTCACAGATTTATGGCATATCTGGTAAGCTAGTTCTTTGGCCTATAGCCAGGAGCACACCCATCTACTTTGTCCTATCTGTGCTCCTGATTTGTGTGTTTCAGCTTTCAAAGCGCCGGGGGGGGGGGAATGTTGAAAACTTTCTAGCTTGTTGGGTTTTGTTTTCTAAAAGGCCTTATTTTCCTTGTGTGGTCCTCTTCCAGACTTCCCTCCTGTGATCTGTCAGAAAAGAAAGGTTTTATCAGTTGTAGCTTAGAGTTCACTGTAAACCTCCGCTAACCCCAAAAAAGCATTATTGCTTCACTGAATAACATTTAACTTATTTGGGTTTTAGAGTTTTGTGGCCCTGTCGAGCAGTAATAATTCTAAACTTTCTCGTCTCTGTCATTTTAACTCCATAGTTCTCTGCGTCTGAGAATTATGGGACCTTTTGTAAAAGGGAATTAACATTATGACCCCATGCTTTCATATGCATGGAGTTGTATCTGGAAGTTTGGTGCCATCAAAAGTATCATCTCACCTATTGGCTAATAGACCAATGTCAATTGAACATAATTTCAATTAAATTGCAGATCTGCAGGGAAATATATCCTGATTGATGCTAATTGGGTAGAAGAGAGACTAATGCTCAAAATGAAATTGGCAGCCAGTAATGAATCTTTTCAGGACCTGGGTAAAGATTCCTTTCCCATAGGAGTTGAGTTAAAAGCTTTTTCTTCTCTGTCTTGTTAAGTTAAGAACATAAGAACGGCCATATTGGGTCAGACCAACAGTCTACCTAGCCCAGTGTCCTGTCTGACGACAGTGGCCAATACCAGATGTCCCAGAGGGAGGGAACTCAACAGTTAATCCTCACGTGCTCTCTCCCATGTTACCCATTTCCAGACAAACAGAGGCTAGGGACACCATTTCTACCCATCCTGGCTAATAGCCATTGATGGACCTAACCTCCATGAATCTATCTAGCTCTTTTTTGAACCCTGTTAAAGTCCTGGCCTTCACCACCTCCTCTGGCAAGGAGTTCCAGAGTTCTAAGCACCTGGTCCAAAGCTCAGTGAAGTTCAGTGACTTGTGTGGGCTTTAGATAAGACATCTGAGTCCGGGTTCTAACTGCTCATTCCCAGTAGGACTACAATGCAGCTTTGGTATCTGCTCGTAGTCTGGCTGAGAACTGGTGAGCGAGAGCTGTAGCTTGCATAATTTGTTCTTTCTTAGAGTGGGCATCAATTGCCAGAGAGCTGAAGGCTGTGTCCACATTACATTGCAGTGTAGCCACCTGTGGGAAGAAAGTGTCCTGTCCCCAGGGCTGAACCCATTCACTGCTGCTGCTGTGGAGCAGTCTCTGGACATGTTTTCAGTGGAGCCAGTGTAGAGGCAGCTATCTTTCTCCAGGGCCTGTTCAGCAGAGGTGGTTTGTGTGCTATATGCCACACTGCTTATATATGTCAGAATGTTGCCCCAATTCTTGTAATAAAGGGCTCCAGTGCAGGTGTTCTACATGGGTCAAACTATCTAGATGCAGGCACGGCGTATGTGCATGTGTCTTGTATGTATGCACATTTACACCACTCCAGTGAGAATACATCTCCTACAAGGCTTCACTATGTCCAAACAACTTCAGTTCCCCCTAAATCAGAGGATTTCTTGTGGCTCACATTGATAGGGCAGCTTCTCATTTCAGCTCTGAACGTGCACTACTCAGACATGCAATTCAAACCTTCCCTGCCCCTGGATTTGTGGGTCTCTCTTTGGTCACAGTTAATAACAATGGACTTGCCTTCCGTTTGCCTTCAGGGCAAGTCCCGCTCACCTTCCTCATAAGACCAGTCCCAACAATCCTCAGCAGCCCCTCCTTGGTTGTATCAGGCTCCCTTCCAGTTTTATTACATTTGCGATTGTTTAATCCCTTCTGCAGAAGCACATCATTGTTCTCCATGCTCTGTTCCTCTGCAAACAGTCACCCCTTGCCCTGCACTGGCTCTTTCTCTTTGCCTTTGCTTACCTGTGACAGCTCCCACCGATTGTGATACAGCCCCAGTGCTCAGTTGTATGACAGCGTTTGTCACACCAGGCTCCAGAATCAACTCCTGGATAATGGACGGAGGGGAGAGGAGGAAGCAAAAAATAAAAATGAACCTCAACCGAGCGTAGTCATGAATGACACTTGTATAAATCCCTCCCAGAATATACATATACAGCTGTGTCTACGCTGGCAAGTTATTCCGGAAAATCAGCCGCTTTTCCGGAAAAACTTGCCAGCTGTCTACACTGGCCGCTTGAATTTCCGGAAAAGCACTGACGATCTAATGTAAAATCATCAGTGCTTTTCCAGAAAAACTATGCTGCTCCCGTTCGGGCAAAAGTCTTTTTCCGAAAAACTGTTCTGGAAAAGGGCCAGTGTAGACAGCACAGTAGCATTTTCCGCAAAAAAGCCCCGATCGCGAAAATTACGATCGGGGCTTTTTTGTGGAAAAGTGTGTCTAGATTGGCCACGGACGCTTTTTTAGAAAACCATCCTACCAATCTAGATGCACTTTTCTGGAAATACTTTTAACGGAAAATCTTTTCCATTAAAAGCATGTCCGGAAAATCATGCCAGTGTAGACGTAGCCATACGAGTTCAGTTCTCCAGGGGTGTAAATTCAACGCTGATCCCCAACTATCCACCTCATAGTCGGTTCCTTGCAATGTACCGTCGTTTGTCAGGCACGATAGAGTGACTCCCGGGACTCTGGAGATTAGGAGCCGTTGCCATGTCAGCACTCTGGGTATGTCCCTGGCACCTTTCTGTGCTCTGGTTTCCTCATGGACAAAGTGTTGCTGATCGTAGTGTGTGCGCTTTTGTACGGTGCTTTGAAACGTCACTCTGCTGTGGCAGCACTGCTGACAATGACACTGAGGACAGGCAGGCTCGTGGTTGTCAATAGGAGGAGCCATTTGCCCTTGTGCTTTTCTATTTCTGTGGCACTCAGAAAAACGGCACAGCTGGAATCTTGTTAGAGCACAGTAACATCACCCCCTGTCCAGCCCACCCTCCTCCCTTTCCTTCCAGTACAGTGATGGCTGGGAAGTTCTTGATGAGGGTCGCCTGAAGGTGATGCCCCATGGCACCTAGCCTTTCTTAGCCAATCTCAGGCTAATTTTGAGTCTGGTCGTGTGATTGGCTGCCCTGGAGGTTCTAAACGGATAACTGGTTGGCCTGGAGCACCCAGTTGACCTTTCCCTGTGGAGGCTGCTGCCGGGGAAGGTGTGGGGCTGGTTCCTACAGCTGCCTATCCTATTTCCTACCCTACACATGTGCTGATGGAAGAGTTGGAGGAAGGGGGGCCTATAGGGTTTAAAACATGGACATGTTATGCATATTTTGTCTAATCCGTTCCAATTATCTTGCCCGTTAGGGCGAACTCAGACAGTGTACCTTTCCATGATTAGCATTGTTGCTACTCTTCAGGGCCTCACGTGGTTTCTGCTGGCCATTTAGGCCAAAACTGAGGGAAGGGAGGTTGTTACAACATTAATGGTTGCCGTGGAACATTAACATCCACTAGTAGAGGCTTGTAGGGATAGGCTCAGTGACGGCTCTGTATGGGGCACAGGTTTAAGACTTGTAGACCAGGCCTTGTGTCTAGGCCTGGATGGGACGGAAGGTTTCTTGATGCCTAGAGATCTTCTCTGTGTCTTTTAGGTCAGTGAACTACAGTGGAATTAAAGGGCGGCATATGGTGGGGCTGATCTGCCAGGGACAACTTTGCTGTGCAAATACACATTGTGTGCATTTGTTACTTCGTTTCAGATTTATGTAATAATAATTGCAGCCTTTGGACAGAAATTCACTAGGGCGGGAGCTATCTTCTTGTGGGGATAAGGGAGTGGGCAAAATACAGCCTGTCTGAAGTGACTACTCCATAGACCAAATATCAACTACCTAATTGAAGTGGTGTCTGAAAAAATGATATTAGGGTCAATGGGGAAAGAATAAAGTAATCCATTGGTATTTGTGGGGGGGAGGGCTGGGGGAGGGCTGTCCTACTTTATAAGTCGTCCTTACTGACCATTTTAGCATAAAGTCTATGCAGATATGTACACAAGCCAATCATCTTGCTCCTGAGCAAAAATATCAAAGTGTACTAACTACTGTTAATTCAGCAGCTTTGGTTTGTTTTAGAATATGTGTTTTGTTTTTACCTGGATTTGGTCTGCTCATTAATTGGAGTTTGTTACCAGGCAACTGCTCAGTAATGGAATGGCAGATTTCTCAAGGACAAGAGTTCCAGATGGAATTGAACTGAAACCCCAAAGCATTGTGATAGAACAGAAGGTAATTTGGCCATTTGAAGGTGGGGGTGGAGGGAAGGTGTGGGGAGTCAAATTGCCTGTCGTTGCTAATGTGCATGATCAACATCCTTTCCGTTTTTTCTGAACAGCATTCAGTCATTTTACTGCAATGTTCTGATGTCCAATTCCAAATTACAGCTACAAATCTGGAAAAGATTTTAAACCCTTTCAGGTTTGTGTCTCCTACAAACCCGCTTATGGTTAGGTACAAAATGGTGCCTCCTTATTTGCCTGTCTTACTGTGAATATTGTCGTTTTTCAAATCAACAGATTTGTTAAGACTTACATAGTACAGACTACAGAATGTGGGGCCAGGTTTTTGACCCTTTTCGTAATGTTTATAACTTAGGAGAAATATCCTCTCACTTTTAAAATCATTACCCAGTGAAAAATACCTTCCTTCCGAGGAATTTAAGGAAGTCATAAAGGGCCCCCAGGAAACCAGTATGTTGTGCTCTTGTACTCCATCTGCTGGCTCAGATGTAATTGCATTAACAAGTACACTGTTCCCAGAGCAGAGGATGTTCCTGGAACACGAAAAAAAAAAAAAAGCAATCACGAAAAAAAAAAAAGCGTCCCTGTGTTACAAACGCATTGACTAACGACCGTTCGTCCTTACGACCAACCTCCCATTAAGCTGGTCCCCGAGTTACGAACACGATCCGTGTTTATGAACAGCACAGTCACATTTAAATGAATGGGGTCCCACTTACAAACAGATCGAGTTGCAACCAAGTGTTTGGTATGTAACTCGTTCGTAAGTCGGGGACTATCTGTAGAACCATTCTCTCTCTCATTTCCTTGAAAACACCAAATTGGATTAATAATACTACTGCTTTGTTCTTGAGGAGCACCTGTTCTCCTCAGGCCTAGAAGCCCTGACAAACATTAATGAATTTATTCTCATTTCAAGGCTGGGGAAAATGAGTCCTGCCCATGGTCATGCAGACAGACTGTGTCAGAGCCAGGAATAGTGCTCAGGTACCTAGATCTCAGCCCTGGTTTCTGAGCCTCCATCGCAATTTCTTGCTTCCTCTCTTGGGAAGGAATCAAATGTTGGTTCCCCAGTGGAAAAAGCAGCAAGACAGTAGGGAACTATGGATCTTGGAGCGACACAACAATACCGCTACCGTTATCAGCAAGAGAGCCTCTCTTGCCGAAATACTGCTCTCTGCACAAGCACGTTCTCCAGTTAAACTTATGCCGACCACGAGAGTGTGTTTTTTCACAGCCTTGATCGACAAAAGTACTGACAACATTGTTAGTGTAGACAGAACCCTGCATCAGAGGCAAGATTACAAAGCAGAGAAATGTAGGGCTGAAAAGGACCTCAAGAAGTCCCCCTGTCTAGCCCTCTGTGGCAGGGCCAAGTAAGCCTCCCCTGCCCCTCACAGGTGTTAGTCCAACCTGTTTTAAAAATTCCCAATGATGGGCATTCCACAACCTCCCTTGGTAGTCTAGTCCAGTGTTTAACTGCCTTTGTAATTCGTTTTTCCGAATATCTAACCTAAATCTCCTTTGCTGCTGATATAAACCCATTACTCCTTGTGCTATCTTCAATAGCCTTGGAGAGCAGTTGCTCACCATGTTCTTTACAGCAGCCCTTCACGTGTTTGAAGACAGTTATCAGGTGCCCCATAAGTCATCGTTTCTCAAGATTAAACGTATTTTTTTTTATTTTTCCTCAAGTCAGGCACCTTTGGCCATTATTCTTGCCCTTCTCTGGGCTGTCCCCAGTTTGCCCACATCTTCCCTAAACTGGGACACCCAGAAATGGGCGCGGTACTTCAGCTGAGATCTCACCATGGCCAAGTAGAATGAGACTATTACATCCCATGTCTTATATACTACGCTCTTAATACACCCCAGAAGATTAGCCTAAGAGTCCGTTAAAAAGAAAAGGAAAAATGCTTCTGGGCGTCCCTTTAATTTGCAGTTCGTTCCTTGGCTTTTAAAAGCCAAACAGCTTCTATTTAGAATTCTCTGCATGTCTTCAGACATATTGGCAGAGTTCACAAAGGCTTAGTTTACTTCACTAGGTTGTTTATTGGCCAGCAAACTACAGACTACAGCTTCTGATTCAGCCAGCATTCCTTTTTTTTTTCTTTTGCTTTGGGATAAATCAATAAGGAATTTCTAATGTAACACTTAGCATCCCGTTGTTTCCTATATCCCAGCATCGATGGGCCTCAGATAGCATCTTCCCCTTGATCCTCCACAGATACTTCTGTGCTCCATTGACCATCTAGAACACACGCCAGGGTCTCAGTAACCCCCTCAGGTCCATCTCTTCCTCCCTGGCCAACCCTCCTCACTCTACATTTAGTCATTTTCCCTGAAACTTGGCCATTGTCCTCTACCCTACCACATCTATAGATGGTGTCTTACAACCCACTGAGTTGACGTTTTCCATGACACTTGGCCATTGCCCTCTACCCTACCCCATCTATAGATGGTGTCTTACAACCCACTGAGTTGACATGTATTTCCCTATCCCGACGTGTATGATCCTACTAAGGAAGCCCAAAGATGCACTGTGTTGGTAAGGCTGATCTTCACCTTCCCAGTCTTTCCCCTGTCTCTTTACCAAATCCAATTATTTTGTAATAAACTCTTACCGCTACAGGAAGTGAAAGCTTTAATGACGAGGACAGTAATGAGGTATGGGCTGTGAACAGGGTTGAGGTACTCCCAGAACTCATGCGTTCTGATTCCCGCTCTGACGCTGACTCCCGTAGTGGTCTAAGCACAGTTTGTTTCTGTGCCTCATTTTTTCCCTACCTGGATGACATTGATACCTACCATTTGGGGGTGTGAAGATTTACTAATTAAAGGTGCATTATTGAAATTATTGAAATGCTTGCCAGACCTCAGCATGTCAGTGCGTTGTCAGTGTAGTGTAAGGGTCGTCATTCGTGTCCGGTCGTCATTTATGCCACATGCTAGTTTTCTTCAACTGAGGTACCATGCACTGAACTCTGCCTGCCCTACCTACCCAGGGTTACACAATGAAACAAAGGCATGTTCCAGCGCATGTAACTTCCCAATCTGTTTTCATGTGCAGAATCATATTGCAGGGAAACAAAGCTGTAGCACCAAGGAAGGACTCTGGAGCATACAGAACCAGAACTATCTCCTGCCTGATCTCCTACAGCAAAGCCAAATTTCAGACTCCTCAGCAAACCAGCAAAAAGTTACCCAAAATAGTCAAGGAGCTCAGAATAAATCCGTAAGTCATAAGGTGTAGCTTTTCAAACTGCATTCATTAGATCTCCTGAGCTCTCCCCCTCCCCCCAACAGCTTCGACTCTGGAGCATACAGAACCAGAACTATCTCCTGCCTGATCTCCTACAGCAAAGCCAAATTTCAGACTCCTCAGCAAACCAGCAAAAAGTTACCCAAAATAGTCAAGGAGCTCAGAATAAATCCGTAAGTCATAAGGTGTAGCTTTTCAAACTGCATTCATTAGATCTCCTGAGCTCTCCCCCTCCCCCCAACAGCTTCCCCCCGCCGCCCCCTTTTTTTTTTTTTTTTTTTGGCTTGACAATTCTGGTGTGGCTCTGCATTTTTTCCGCCGCTGTTTCGGCTTTCTTTGTTAAATGGGTTGGCCACCCCTGCATTAGATTCTCTCCAGTCCCTTCCTTTCCCCCAACATAGGGGCAAAATGGGGAAGGGCTTTTAATCCCATGGATCACCTCTCTTTAGGGTTTCACAGGAGTAGCTGTGTTAGTCTGTAACTGGAAAAACTTAAAAAACAACAGATAGTCTAGTAGCACCTTAGAGACTAACAGAACATCCATCCATCCCATTTTTACCAGGACAGCCCCTTATTGAAGGCCTCCTCCCAAAGTCCCAACTATTTTTAAAAAATGGGCACATTGTCCCATATTTCCCCTGCAGTGGGCAGGGGGGAGCTGCCAACACTCAAGGCTTCAGCTGCTGAAGCCCCTGTGGCTCTCCTGCCTTCCCCACCCTGCCTGCTGTGGGACGGATCGTCATCCCTGCAGTGGGGCTGGCACTCGAAGCCCTGAGCACCAGCGGCTCCTCTCCAGCTCAGTGGGGCTAAAGCTCTGAGTGCTGGCAGCTCCCCCCTTCCTCTTGTGGGGCTGGAGCACCAGCAGGCCCCCCCCCCCCCCCCCCCCGCCACTCTCCCCCCTGCCATATATATTCCGAAATATGGTTATCTTACCTCTCTTTTTTTTAAAAACAAGTCTCCTCTAGAGAGATCTTTGGCCCCCTGGCTTCTCAGAGAGGCATGATCCAGGGGTCAGTAGAAAATCTTGGGCCCCCAATCCTATCCCTACTACCTCTCGTGTTTGTCCATCCGTTCCTCCTCTCTCTATTCCCCTACTCTCTCCTTCTCCCCCCCCCCCCCCCCCCCCCCCCCCCCCCCCCCCCCCCCCCCCCCCAAAAAATTCAGGGGTTCCTTGCACTCCATTAGTACACCCTTCTTTTCCCATGGTGCTCATTGCTGTCTTCAGCCCTGTCTGAGGGTCCTACCTCAGCTCCTCATCCTCTCTCTGCTCTGCCTAGGGTGCAAATCAGGAACATCCCCAACACTGCCAGTGAGGGATCACAGGACAGGTGCAAAGTAGTGCTAACTCAAGAGACAGGACTTTAAAACAGTCCTGGCTGCAGCAACATCCTCCTTGCCGCAGAGAGGTTTGAATAATGTCCTACTTCAAATCAGACTGCAGGCAGTGATCTAAGAGCATGCTTACGCTTCCTGCATTGTAGCTCAATTCGTACCACAAACTTGCGCTTCAGAATGGTTGTTCATATCGAATTATGTCATGTACAGTTTCATGTAAACCTCAGAGAGTTTTCTAGATACCAACAGTAATACATAATATCTGTTCCCTGCTATCCATTTCCTAAGTGAAAACCGAGATTATTTTTCATTGTAGACATCCAGTGCTGAAAGTACGCCTTCAAAGGGCAGTTCATCATCTACAACATCCTTTACTCCGTTCATAGATCCCAGACTACTACAAATCTCACCTCCCAGCAGTCCAGTTGGACCTACTTGTAACTCTCGTGAGTGTGCCTGCTCTTCTCGTAAAATGCATCCTGCCTGGCTCTCTTGCAAAACACCAGCTTGAATTCCAATGTTAATTTCCAAGAATTTTCTGGTGACTTCTTGAAACTCCAAATCCATGCTAAGAGCGTTGGATTTGTTTGCACTGCTTCTGCCCGTGTTCCTGATGAAGTGTGCATTTCTCTGTTATTGTGTTAGCCCGATGCATATTCATGAATACATCAGAAACTGTGCAGACATATGGTTCTACCTCATGCTACGTTAAGTTTTGCAGAAATTATTCCCTAGGTGTTGGAACTGAGAGCTCTCTAGAGTTGTCTTCAAATTGCAATAAACAAGGCATGTGTGAGGTGTGACCGAACACTTACATCTTTCATAAGCGGCGAGGAGTCCTGTGGCACCTTATAGACTAACTGAAGTGTAGGAGCATAAGTTTTCGTGGGCAAAGACCCACTTCGTCAGATGCATGTAGTGGAAATTTCCAGAGGCAGGTATAAATATGCAGGCCAGGATCAGGCTGGAGATGACGAGGTGGATCCAATCAAGGAGGATGAGGCCCACTTCTAGCAGCTGATCTGGAGGTGTGAATTCCAAGAGAGCAGAAACTGCAAAGAGAAACTGCTGAGCTACAGTTCATCTTCAAGATTGACACAATCAACTCTGGATTAAACAAAGACTGTGAATGGCTTGCTAACTACAAAAGCAGCTTCTGCTCTCTTGGAATTCACACCTCCAGATCAGCTGCTAGAAGTGGGCCTCATCCTCCTTGATTGGATCCACCTCGTCATCTCCAGCCTGATCCTGGCCTGCATATTTATACCTGCCTCTGGAAATTTCCACTACATGCATCTGACGAAGTGGGTCTTGGAGCATAAGCTTTTGTGGGCAAACACTTCAGTTAGTCTATAAGGTGCCACAGGACTCCTCGCCGCTTTTGCAGATTCAGACTAACACGGCTACCCCTCTGATACTTGACATCTTTCATGACTCCCTCTGTCTTCTCTTCCAGCATCTAGCCCCAAACTAGAGCCAGTTAGGAGACAGAATGCAAGGAAAGGCTCTGTTGTCAATGTCAACCCGACAAATATCCGGCCACAGAGTGACAGTCCAGAAATTCGCAAGTACAAGAAGAAATTCAATTCTGAGATCCTGTGTGCTGCTCTGTGGGGTAAGCTTAGAAATAAATGTTTCCTAAGAAAACAGAGGGACCGCCCATTACTGACAGTATAGGCCAGGGCTACTCAACACGCAGCCCATGGGCTGCCTGCGGCCTGTTTGTTTGCAGTCCGTGGTGCAGTTTGGGTTTATACAGGGCTCAGCATGCGGCCTATGGGTGGGATACTTTGAACACGGCCTCCACTGGGAACACGCTTCACAATGGCGAGTCAATATCATGGTCTTCTGTTGATACGCGCTTTAGTAGTTAAATTCCTGGACTCATTCAAAGTGCTGTCATATGGATGGAAATCGAGGAAATATTGCATTTTATTAATATCAGCAGAACTGACTTAAATGGGGCCTGTGTGTTGTGTAGTCTTGCCATAACCTTTGTATTCGTGCCCATCAGTATGAAAGAAGCTATTTGCATATATTTGAATGCATATGCAACCACACTTAAGTTGCGGCCCTCGGCATGTGCTGTGAGTATCATTGTGGCCTCCGGGGCTTCCAAAATTGAGTAGCCCTGGTATAAACTATGCTGAGATTTTGATTGCATCTCTCATCGCATATCATCCCAAATTAACTGATTTGCTTACAGCAGCACTCAGATGAAGCCACCTTACAGGTGGAAAGTGACAGCCCAATGAATGACCATTGCAAAACATTCTGTGCAGCAGGGTGAGAGGACATCTTGGTAAAGCCACAGAGTTAAAATCTTGCTCACTGAAAGAGCCAAGAGCTCAAACTGTCCTTCAGCAGCAGGACTTGGGTTTTTAAGACTTTCCAGAAAGATTCCCACATAGGAAGTGTCAAAAACTGAATGGAGTGTTCGATTGACTGTGCCACGCTTTGCCAAATTATCCCTCAGGTGCTGGGGAGTGGAAAAAATGCCACACCTGAAGCTGAGTGGATTAAGCCAATGTCTCTGAAACTGCTCCAGCTACTGCGCCCCTTTCAGAAGTCGGATTTGTCTTGCGCCCTGCCAAGTTTCGCCTCACTTAAAAACGACTTGCTTACAAAATCAGACATAAAACACCCAAAGTGTCGCAGCCCACTGAGACTGAGAAACTGCTGACTTCCTCATTTTTACCACATAATTATAAACATAAATCAACTTGAATGTAAATGTTCTTATATTGCAGTGTGTAGTCCATAGATCAGAATGAACAAGTCTTTGTATGAAATTGTAGTTTGTACTGACTTTGCCAGTGCTTTTTATGTAGCCCATTGTAAAACTAGGCAAATAAGTACATGAGTTGTAGTACCTCCTAGAAGACCTCTGGGCGCTCCCAAGGATACCTGGTTGAGAACCCCTAGGTTAAGCCATCCCCTCACGTACGCTACATAGTCCATAGAGTCTTTCCATGGGACTCTTCCCTAGAAGCTAAAACTGATCAAGACATGAATTCTATCAGAGGCTGAACTCCCTCGACGTCTACGGATTTCTCAGGAGGTTCTCAGCACCTTGCAGGATCAGCCTGTTGCAGAGAACACCCACCGGCCATAACTCAGCATGGCTGTATTGATTAGGGATGTTAGATATTGTGTAATTGAATAGTTGTGTAACCGCATAAAATATTATCCGTTACATGACTATTCGATGGTCCCCAAGGCCGGCCCCACTCCCGGGGAGCCCCCAGCCCCCTATCAGAGGCAGCAGCATGGAGTGGCAGGCAAGAGCTGGTCCACGAGGGCAGCCAGTTTAAAAACCAGATCCGTATGCAGGCCAGCTGCCTGCCAGCCTATGCTGCTGCCTCTGATATAGAGATAGCAGTGCACAGGGGCAGACGAGAGTGCCGCAGGGCCCAGGGAGCACCGCGGGGCCCTGGGCAGTGAAATTTTGCCGGGCCCCTCCTTTGATACGGCACATGCACGGGGCCTCGGGAAGCGCGGGGCCCAGGGCAGCCGCCCCGCTCGCCCTGCCCTAAATCCGCCGCTGACAGTGCAGGGTGGCAGCAGCCCCCGTCCGTGGGGGGTCCGAGCTCCCCACAAACAGAGGCTGGGCCGGCTCCCC